ATAGTATAGTTAATCGATAGAACGAGGCTATCGCTATCGGGCTTTAGTATAACTACGATATTTCTTTTATTATAACGTAGCGTAAGACTATAGCCCTTATCTATTACATTACGAACTACGCGACTAAGGTAGAGGACCTAGTATAGAAGCGTATAGCGGCCGCGGCCGAGCTACTAGCCGCCTTAATAAGTAACGGCAGGGCTAATAGAGGGCGGGACGGCGGTAGAGACGCTACTACCGATAACCCCGTTAAGGGGAATAGGACGCGATAGTTCTTAATAAGAGTAGCGAACCGGGTATTTATAGAGCGTCCGCTATTATAGGTCGAGGTCGTCGCTTATCTTCTTAGATATCTAGCCGAGTTTACTAATAGCAGCGCCTAGGCGTACCTAAATATATCTCTACTATACTAGGAAGTCTTTCGGCGATAGCGGTGTCTCTAAGAAGTAAGTAGCGCTATAGCTATAGATAATACCTTAGATAAGTCGGTCGTCGTCGAAGAAGTAGGCCTAAGAATCTCCTACGTTAAGGCATACTAGTACTAGGGAGAGCTACTAAAAGGCCTATGCCTATACGATTACGTATTAATCGTTAGACTAAAATATATCGGTAATAATAAGAGCTAGGCGGCTTAGGGGGAGGTGTCTTTCGAGGATAGATAGGCGCTAGGAAGACGCTAGGTTTAGGTGCTTAGGCGGCTAGGTAAGCACGCTACCGTCTACCTTAATAGCTACCTAAGTAAGGACTTTACCTACGATAATAATAAGTCGTGCTACCGGAGGTATATATAGTAACTACTCTACTAGTAGGTATTATCGGAGAGGCTAACTTAACCCCTTAAAGGGCAGCCGTATAGTATCTTACGCTATTTATACCGTAGGAGTCCTTCCTAGGTAAAGGAATAAGCGAGATTAATAGTATCTAGGCGCGGGCGTAGGACGCGCTAGCCCTAAGGATATTATATCTCGTCGATAACGTATAGCTACTTCGACGATTAGCTAACGACGTAAAACGCGACGCTAAGTAATAGGCAGCCTCGTCCGGCGATAGCGACCCTATAGCTATATACGTCGAGGAGGGTAGGATAAGCGAGGCGGGCGTAGGATCCATAGCGACGTATTAGTCTAATAGCATCGGCGATATAACGCGGTTAATTAACGTTATCTAAGGTATAGTAAGTACGAATTAAGTAACGGCTAAGTCGCCGGAGCTTATAGTAATAATATAATAGCTCTATTAGTTTTAGTAATCGGCGCTACGCTTAATAGCCGAGCTCGAGGCTACCGCGACGACCGAATAAAGGGAGAGGCGGATAAGTATACTAGGGTAGATATTTTCTAGGGCTATACTACTACTATAGGATTAGGTTAAGGCTATTAAGTTATAGTAGGTAAGTGCCTTAAGGGATAGAGAGAGGATAATCTAGGGTATATAAAGTATACCTATAGCCTAGGAAAGCAACCGCCGCGCTACGTTACGGAGAGTAATAACTAGCTTTAGGGAGGACGAGATCGAAATAACGATAGCCGACTCTAAGGAGACGGCTAGCGACTCTAACGCGGGAATATATATCTAGTTCGGCCTATTAACCTCTTTTATTATAGCTAGTAAGGAGTTAGTAATATAGCTAACGTTAAATAGAAGGTAGTTAATCGTATTCCTACTAATATACCGCTAGCTTAATTTAATATAATAAACTAATAAAGGCGATACTAGCTAGCTATACTAGTTCGTCGGCGGCGAGGAGGGGACCGGTAAGTCGCGAATTATTAAGGCACTCGTTAAGTTATTTAGTAAGAGGAGCCTTTTAAATCGTCTACTAATTACGGCTATATTAAGGACTACTATAGCGCGGATTAACGGTATTATAATCTACTCTGCCTATAGGTTTACTAAGGACTAAGGGCCGGGCACGAATATAGCTAAGGACCTTAATAAGGTGCGACTACTAAAGTAAGCGGAGCGGTTTATTTACGGCTAGTCTTAGATAGACCTATAAGAGAAAGATATACTTATTATTAACGAGGTAAGTATACTTAGAGCGCGGACGCTATACGCCGTAAATAAGCAGCTCTACCGACTTCGTAGATTACGGTAAGACTTTAAGGGGATCCCTATTATCCTCTTTTACGGGGACTTTTAGTAGTTCCGGCCGGTCTAAGAGAGGTCGATCGTCCTACTAAGTACGGCTACCTTATAGGATATAGATAACTCGTTTAAAGCTAAGTAGCGGCACTAGTATAATAAAGCGCACGCGCTATAGAAGAGATTTACGACGGTTATTATATTAAACGAGTAAATACGCGCCGCCGGCGATCCGGAATTATAAGGGCTACTAAGGCGGATCTATCTAGGTATATAGGACTATATAGATCTAGACCTCCTTAACTTAAGGTGCTACTAAGAGGGTAGGCGGATCCCTTAAGAGACGGGCATTACTATAGTAACGCCGCTAAATAGGAACCGGTAAAACCTAAATATAGAGGCGAGCTTAGCGTTTCGGATCTAATAGCAGTCGATAATATATATCTTTATCTCTAAGTATAAGTAAAAGGATAGCCTACCGACTAAGGAAAAAGCGATTATAATACTTAACTAAGGCGACGATAGCGCGATCCTAGTACTAGCTATCTTTATATTTATACCTAGGATACTAGCCGTCGTAAACTATAATACCTATTAAGGGCTAAAGCTAGTAAACGGCGCTAGCTACTCGGCGGTAGAGGTTATTATCGATAAGGCGTACCTAGGGTATTAGATCTCGGCTAATATAACGATCTACTTTAGGCCGCCGGCGGGGATAATTCTAATATCGGCGACGATAAAGGACCTCTGCTTAGTAGGGATACCGCCGAGCACGATCCTATTAACGCCGATAAGCGTTAAGATATATTACTAACGAAAGCGACCGTAGTAGTAGAACGATATTAGCCGGAAGGGTTTACTATACGTAGTAGCTTTCGCGTGCATAGATTATAAGGTATAAGGCAGAACGCTAGATTATATAGCCCTTAAGCTACGAGGGACACGGACGATAAAGGTCGATAGAAGGGTCGTGCCCGCGTAATATAATCTATATAGCTTATACGTATAGCTATCGCGCTGCCGAACGCTAGATAGCATTATACTCGTGTCTAAGGTACGGGAGAGAGACTTAGTAGGCAACCGGGTCCCCGAGGAGATAACTACCGCGTAGGCTAGGCTCGAGGTATTAAGCAAGAGGACTGTCGAGGAGACGTTGCGCTAGCTCGATAGCGATACGGGGGAGTCGAGGCCGCTACGCTAGGCGATAAAACGAGAGAGGGGAAGGAAGCGCCGGCGGCGGGACGGCGCGGAAGGAGCCTACTAGGGGGGTAAGGCACGCGGAAAGGCTAAGAATCACGGGCAAGAGGGGGGCAGCAGCGACCAATAATAAGGGGCCTTATAAAAGGCGGGGGGAGGAGCTGAGGGACCAGAGACACGTAGAAAGTCCTTTCGTTCCTCAAGGCATTTAGCCGAAGGCTGACTCTATATTAATCTATAAGTTTCCCGAATAATAAGGGTTTCGTGCAGACAGGGGGCGATAAGTTTCCCGGGCTCTGATTGGCCCAAGCTTTATATAGCGAGCTGCAACTCGTTCGGCAACTGGCTGACGGCTCCTAGGAAGTGGGTCCAGGCCCTTCCGCATCGCCGTTTATTTACTCGGGACGATTTTATTTACGTCACACTTGGCTGAAGATACCCATTTCGTCCGCTTCAACGCTTCTACGTGTCTTCTTTTCGCTAGGCAATAGGCCCTGAAGCTACTTCCCGGAAGCTATATTATGGACATAATTTCCATTGTCTGTGCCCGCTGTGGCGAGGAGAGACCGGCGGGCGACTTCGTCAGTAAAAGGAAATCTGCTGGGAACACGAAGAACTGCCTTGATTGTCGCAATAAGAACGATTCTCATGTCAGCTCTGTCTCCACACTCTGTAAGATCAGTACTAACTAAATGAATACTGCCGAAAATATCCGTGGGCGTAGATAAGGTAACAGTTACATGCTTGCAGATGATTTGACTGCTCGGTGATTGACTGCTTGGCCCGTTGGCCCGCGGACTCGCAGCCTTCGGCTGATTGTACGCCTTGCACAACCGCTCTAAACTGCAAGGCGTGACGTAGTATTTTAATATATGCAGCATGAACGTTGCGACTGCCGGAATCGGAAGGCCAGAATCAGGATCGACGCTATAGTGACTGCGACTACCTTCTTTGTTAAGCAATTGACCTTGAAGATCTTTTAACTTTACAGATTTGTCTATTGGCGTGCGCTGGCAGGAATAGGATGGTTGTCCTGTGTGCGTAAGGGCTCACCAGACCGCCCAGGCAGATATCCTGGGATCGCAGTTCAGCCACCATGCTTAGCCCGAGAGACAGAATGACTCTTTAAGATAGACTTCTGAGCCTAAGCTCTGAATCTTCAGAACCGGTAACAGAAACGGTAAGACGAATGCCGCCAGCTTGCGAACCGCAATAAATGAAAGCTTGCTGCCGAGGTGCTTGTCTGGACTACACGCGGAGGCCCTGGCACAAGATATCAATCCTAGTCAGGCCCCTGTGGAACGGAGATTTCGGATTGTGAAGACGCTCAATGCCACATGTTTCTGGCTCTATGTCTCTGACGTACGTCAATCTACGTTGATGGGGGAGGACGACCCACGGCAAACTTGTTCTATAGCAACAATATTCATGTGGACAAGGGCAATTTATCTCCTGCCGAAACCAGCGCAAGCGCAAGTTCGGTTGCCCAACAGAATGGTAAGAGTTGCCTTTTAGAGACAGGGCTAAAATTGGCTCAGGATAGCCTGCCTCGTATACTGATTTCCTGGGCAGGCTCATTAAGACCCGAACTAGTAGACTATCAGGAAGAAAAACCTATTTAAGACGCCAGAGACCCTGAAATACTTAGGTATGTTTCTTCTGACTTGACTTACCACGTCTCAGTTTCTCCTTGCTAAAGACACTCTTTGCCTGTCAATATGCCGTCCCCAAGAGCCTCCGCGTGTATGGCTATGATTCTAGTTGGCGTCGTTAGCGGTTACGTCACGTCAAGTACAAAGCGACCCATGACTTCACTTGCTACAGCTTCATTGTTTGGGCGGGACCACTCAAGCTTGAACTGGTGCGGTGCCGTTCAGTACTCTAGCCAAGTGACATTTGTCGAGGGAACATGGACAGTACCATCTGTTTCGATTCCAAATGGAAACTTATCGACTGATCAGTATTGGTTCTATCAATGGGTTGGAATTGACGGCGTATTTCCTTGCGAAGTCCTTTTGCAAGGTGGAACTGGTACCATTGTAAGTGTACTACTGCGACTCTTCTTCATCAGACTTGTTTCAGCCATGAATACCTCTACTACGGAAGAATCAAACTCTTCCATCGCCGTTGATACGGTTCATAATGGTTGATCTGACTTGAATACTACAACAAGATTACTAATGGCACGGTGGGTGCATTTGCGTGGTACGAGTTCTATCCCGCTGGTCCAGTGTATCCCAACATGTCTAGTAAGTAACTACTCCGAATCTAGGGGTCCATTCCGAAATGGAGTCTTGTTCTTACGGAAAACTTTACAGTCCATGTTGGCGATGTAGTGTATGTGAGTGTAGAAGCCACATCCCCGAAAACTGGGACTATGTATGTCACTCAAATCTCTCAATCTGAAACTGCTCTCTGAAAGCTCATTATTCAGTTGCATCGATAATCTCTCCACGGGCGAGTCCCAAACATTCAATCCTGTATCACAGAACGGGTCTCTCTGCCAAAAGACCGCGGAGTGGATTGCAGAGGACCCCGGCATCACAGTTCAACCATTCCCATCGTTCTCAGCCTTTAACCTCATCAGCTGCAAAGCAACAACAGGCAGCGGGTCCGTGATCACCCTCGACGGGGCAGAGCTTTGGGAGATGAACCAGAACGGTCGGAGGCTTTGCCACGCTGAAGTAAACAGCAACTCAGATTTAACCGTGTTCAATGGTTAAGGTATCTGAACGGCTCACGGCGTCGCCCGGTCCATGTATCGCACAACGTAGGGCCAACCCGGGCATGAACAGACTCTTGTTTTTCTATCTCGCCGCTTCTTGAATGCTCACAAAGCTCGACGAGCTCATCAAATTACGAGTGGGAGGGGAAACCAAAATGGTGTATTTCTACCTCTTTAGCCGTACAACTTTTGCCTTTCTATTAGCTCGGAGCAGTTTACAAAATAAGTCCAGCGAGCAGCCGGTCTGCTGCTACTATAGGTTTAACAATGTGCATCGCGGCCTCCTCGCTACACCTATGGGCCTTCGCCACCTTGCGAATCTCCTTTATAATCTCGAGCCGTAACGAATACCACTGCAATTCATTTTGTCGCCCGGCGCGCCACCGGCTTCCCAATCTACTGTCGAGGTCGGCAATGGCAGGCCCGCCTCGAAGGCCAACCGTCCACTCGCTCCAGAGCGCCTCGACCGTTTTTACTGCTCAGCACATCCGATACCGTGGTGGTGGCTCTGTCTTAACTTTAATCGAATCTATCGCCGTCGGGCTCGTGGCACGGCTATCAATAATGCTCGACTAAGCGGCTAAGCCGAGACGAATCAGCTTCCATCTCCTCGTCCTCCTTGCCCAACGGCATCAACCACGAACGGGGCCGTGAAGGCAGCGGTGGTCGTCGCGGCCGTAACTTGGAAATTGAAACCCGTTCGAAAAAGGGGACGACTGGGCTACCGCAAGATGTTCTTCGGACCTCAGGGCTCCTAATAGTGCACACTGTTGACTTGATATGAGACATGGACCAAGACATGTTTAGGCAGCAGTTATAAGTGGTGAGTCACTGGATAGTGGCACGGACGTGCCACTATGTATATATGTATGTTGAGAGCTGTTAGACAGAATTGAATAGAAGTAAGTTTAATCGCAACACATACTGTAGTTTGGGATCTAATGCAATGCAATGCAATTTATTCCGCCCGGAGGGACCAACCCTAGAGGGCCGCGACACTAAGCTATTTACAGATCCTTCACTTTCGACTGCAACACCCAGAAGCCCCACATTTTGCTCCTATCCGTACATTTCAGCCTCCAATTTCGCCGTTGACAGGCCTGCTTGAAGGCCCATTTCTCCAAGTGTTCAGCATCCTATTGGGATCTAATAGATCCGCGCCCGGGCGCGAATTTAACGTTCCCGCGCCCGGCCGCTGACTAATAATTCTGCGCCCCTCTGCCCCCCACTGCAGCCTCCGTTCACACAACGAGTGGCACTCGGGGGCTTGAGGACCACTGCGACTGGGACAGCCACGACACAATGGCCCAAAAAGTGTTTCCCAACGATGCGCTACCACCAGAGGGTACATACGATTCACGAGAGTCCCTTCTCAAAGCCATCAATTCATGGGCAAAGCCAAGAGGTTATGCATTCACTACCGTACAGGGAAATCTTCCAAGACCTCCAATGGACGAGTCAAGGTCGTGTTTGCGTGTGATCGCAACGGGCAACCACCCAGTACATCCACTGAACGAAAACGCCGTACGTGCACCCGAGGAACAGGGTGCAAGTTCTCAGTTCTTGCCAAACAATCCTTGGATGGAAATTCATGGACACTACGCCATCGACCAGACCAGGGGTGCTCCGAGCATAATCACCAACCGAGCCAGGACCCATCTGCCCACCCAGCACATCGACAGTTGACGAGCAACGATCGACCTACAGTTACCAGCCTCGCAAATGCTGGAATTGCACCTAAGGATATCAGGACATATTTGCGCCAGAACTCCGATACCATTGCAACACAGCAAGACATCTACAACCGCATTGCAGAGAGCAAACGAGAGCTTTGTGAGGGCCAAAGTACGATCCAAGCCCTTGCCAACCAGCTAGACAACGAAGGGTTCTGGTGCCGGATGCAGCTTGATTCTGATGGTCGGGTAACCGCAGTCTTATTCGCTCACCCAGACTCGTTGGCGTACCTTCAGGCTTACCCAGATTTACTCTTCCTGGACTGCACGTACAAGACAAACAGATACGGCACGTGGGGCTTAAGGTGTTACGCATTAATGTATTGAAATGTCAGTAGCTTTTACGTCTAGGCCCTATAGGAGAAATCCTCCGGGTGAAATACACATACATACATACAACAGATACGGCATGCCACTTCTTGACATGATTGGAGTTGATGCCTGCGAGCGATCCTTTTGCATTGCCTTCGCTTTTTTGAGTGGCGAGACAGAGGAAGATTATATCTGGGGCAATTGATATACGGGCCCAACCACTTTACTACACGGGCGCTCCTTACACGGGCGGCGGTTTTTAATTGGGCCAAAAATTCTGCCGCCCGGTCCTTGCACGTGGCAGGGTCTGTAGCCCCACCACCTGGCAGAAGCGGGGTGACATCCCAGCTGCCAGTTCTGTAGTGACAACTAACTCTCCCGCAACCAACTTTCCGTCTGAGCAATCATTCGGTTAAGCACCAACCGGCATGACATTGCACGAAGACCCAACTGCTGCCAACAGCGGCGACGGCTGTAGTAGATCCCTTCCGGGCTTGCCTCCATGCAAGCGCCGTAGACTTGCATCACGGGCTCGGGCTCAGCCTCCTTTCGATCCTGAACCGTATTACGGCCTTAACGACGATGATGCGTTATACAATCTCTTCGCGACATGGCCAGAAAGCTACTTCACTAGCCTGCCAAGACCACACGGCTCTCGTGGCGTCGACGAGCCCTGGTGGAAACTACGTCAGTCATAAATATTCTTGGATAATAGCTTCCGAGGAGGTGGGGCTCGGCGGTTGTTCACCACAGGAATTCCTGATGCAGACAAACTCGAGAGACAGCGTCTACGCTGCCTCTTGAGGGTGGAGGAAGTCGATGCCCGCAAGCAGGTTGTGGCCTGCTTCTAGCCTGCCTTGACCTTGGCCTGGGAGCTGGCGGACATAGATTCCTTATTGGCTCGCGAGTTGGCCAAGTGTCGAGAAGCTTCCGGCCCACGGCAAGCTATTTGGGAACGTGGAGACGATTGCCACGGCCTTATTGCGTCGCCCACTCCACTAGTATCATCGTTGAGCCAAGATAGACAGGAGTACGAAGAGTGGAACGGCTTCTCCGACGCCGAGTATGGGGATTATAGCGACGTTGAACCTATTCCCAATCCACAAATCCCCGGTACTGCAGCTCCATCGATCGAGGCCCTTCACGCCGAGGTGAACGCATTCGCAAAAACGAACGGGTTTAGCGTTGTCAGGCGAAATGGAACTAGGAGTCGAGCCAGAAAGACGCGATACGTATTAGAGTGCGATCGGTACGGTCAGCCACGCCCGTCTGAGGGGACTGGGCTTCGCCAGAGGCGGTCACGCAAGTCCGGCTGTAAGTGGAAGGTGATCGCGGAAGGCTTGGCAGATAACAGCTATATGTGGACGCTACGAGCATTTCCCGACCCTGAGCACGGCCAACATAACCACGAACGGAGTATTAGCCTCTCCGCGCACCCAGTTCACCGAAGACTTACCAACCCTATCAAGGCAACAATCGAAATAATAAGCCGGCGAGTTGGCATCCGGGCACGTGATGTAGGGGGACTTGTTCGGGACAGCCACCCAGGAACCGTCTATATAAGAAGGGACATATATAACGCCAGGGCGCTTCTGCGCCGCGAGAATCTTGGCGGAATGAGCCCCACAGCCGCGTTAATCAAGCTTTTCGACGAGAGGGGCATCCCCTATATCGCCAAGTGGTCAGAGACCGAACCTAACCGCCTTGTTGGGTTGGTATGGACCTTTCTATACTGTATCCGTATGTGGAAACGCTTCCCGGAGGTGATAAGCTTCGATAACACTTACAACATAAATCGCTTTAAGCTCCCGCTCTTCTAGGCGACGGGTCAAACTTGCCTTAAGTCGGTCTACAACGCTGCCTTCGGCTTGATATATACTAATCCCGATTAAAGAACCATGTTCCTACCGCTATCTTAGTAACGATCCCCTGGATTTTTTATGACCTCGGGAGCTAGCTGCTTTATATAAGATATAGTCTAGCTACGTACCACCGTAGGTCCGTCGAGTAACTAGCGTAGATAAAGGATATTAAGTAGGATAGGCTAGGACCTAATAATAGCCTTATATAGCTAGTATCGATAGGGCAGGCCGTATCTAAGTAGGAACTTATACGCGAAGGGATATCTAGGTTCGTTAAGAAGGCCTAATACCTTACGCTCTTTCTCGAGCTTAGTATTTTACCTCTATCTTAGAGCTTTTACTACCTCCTACTCTAGAGCTAGCTTACTTAGAATATAGTATAGAACCTTCTTAATAAGAAGGCGGAAAGTAGCTCGGTTTAATAGCCTTAGGACGTCTACCTTACTCCGATCCTTATCTTTAATAATTTTTTAAGTTAATTTCTTTAAGCTTTTAGCTAGTTTTTAATAGGATGCTTATAAGGGAAGCTGCTTATTAAGAGACTATTTAACTACGATATAGTAGCTTTTATTCTTCTATATACTATTATATCTAAGGTTTAAGTATTATTATATATATACTTAGATAAATTAGCGCTCTTTTAGTTATTAATTATTCTTAAGATAAAGGCGTTCTAGCTCCTAAATTTCTATAAGTAGCTCGCCTCGCCGTTCTTTAAGTCGCGCCTTATTAAGAGCTTATATATAATCCTAAATAAACTAAAGTAGCTCTTTCCTTTATTCCTTTATATATTTACCTAAGTTTAATAATCGCTTCTTAAAGTTCTCTATAGTATACTATTTATAAAGCTATAATATTTACTTATCTTTACCTTAAGGATTAGCTCTTACTTAGGACGCCGCTATTATAGTAGCGAGCCCTTATTACGACCACGGTTAGCGGGCCGTAGGAGAGCCGGCCACGTTCACGTAATAAGGCGGCTCGGAACAATGGTCGGGACGAGAAGTCACTTAGGCTTAGCTTACTTAGAGCGTACGTAAGCTAAGTGAGCCTTATATAGATAGATCACTACTTAGGAGTATAGCTTACGA